CACCAAATTGTAAGTAAAGAAAAACTTTAAAAACTTTTTGAACTGTAGCACAAATTAATTAAACTAAGGAAGTTAGAGAAACAAAATAATGGAAGTACTTTTTCATGATCTTTTTATAATTATTGTAATAAACATAGATTAGCATCAGTCATTGTGTTTTTTTAGAAATAGAAATAATTCGATTCCCTAGAGTATCTGCACTTGATATGTTGAATTCAGAATTATTAAACCTCGTAAAAAATTCATCCGATCATCAAATTACGTGGAATAGATACAAAATTAGTCAATGAAATTCTAGTTATTAACAATAAATTTAATTCAGTCATTATTTTCAAAGATAATGGACTAAACCTAAACAATTGTCTCACAGTCAGATTGCAGAGCAAATTATCGCTTGATGATATACGTATCAAGATTCAGGTTGGTATTGCAGGTGATTTTAATAAGGAAATATGGTGCGAGCTTAATGTCATTATGTAGAGATTAACCCCCGTGTTGTCAAAATCTTAAAAAGTTCAAAATTTGCTGTTAAATAGTAGCTCTGTTGTAAATGCGATTTTCCTAACAAAATTTAAGTCCTTATCATTATCACACATTTTCCAACTTCTCTAACAAATTTGACTTCATAATTCATTGAAAACAACAAACCACACTTCTTTAAAGTATTTTGCGTTTTAGCGAATTCTGACATGATGGCTCCATAGCAGTTCTTAGGTTTCTCAAAATTTGTTGAGTGGGGAGTGCGATAGACTTACCTCCACGTGGTGCGCCCTGGGCAACGTATATTCATACGGCAAAAAAGTCTGTTACCTGGCAGTTGACTTCAAACTACCATGACCCCACTGTATGTCATATTCGACCACTTCCACTTCAAACTACCATCACCCCACTGTATGTCATATTCGAAACTTCAAACTACCATCACCCCACTGTATGTCATATTCGACATCCTTCAAACTACCATGACCCCACTGTATGTCATATTCGACCCCTTCCACAGTACTCGCTATAAACTGGCAGTTGACTTCTGACTTCAAACTGCCATGATCCCACTGTATGTCATATTCGACTACTTCCACAGTACTCACATTATTAACTGGCAGTTAACTTCTCACTTCAAACTACCATCACCCTAAGCGGCAGTTGACTTCTCACTTCAAACTACCATCACCCGCACTGGCAGTTGACTTCTCACTTCAAACTACCATCACCCCTCACTGGCAGTTGCTTTCTGACTTCAAACTACCATCACCCCACCGTAAACCGGCAGTTGACTTCTGACTTCAAACTACTATGGTCCGACTATAGTTGACTTCTGACTTCAAACTACCATGACCCCACTGTATGTCATATTCGACCACTTTCACAGTACTCACCTCACCTTTTTTATACCTTTGTGTTTGTCTCTTACATCTTTGGAACACTCTACTGTCCCCCCCCCCTCTCGACACTTTTCAATTTGATGTTCCTTCCCCTCTGTGAAGCTAATGATGACTACCAAAACGCCTGCCATTCGATATAAATAAATAAATTTGTTGAGTGGGTGTTTTCCCCTAGTATTCCAATAGGCGTGAATGTTTCAAGGGTTCTAATGGGCCACTTCAAAAGCTTGCGTCTCGTTCACAGGTTTAAAAGCACCAATGTTAATAACCAAATGGAGTAGGAAATAAAAATTTTCATTCGCCTAATAACCGTATCCACAACTAATTAACAGTATAGGAGATACTGGAGCATTAATTAATCTCAATAATACTATTTTCACATAAAATGGAAACCTTAATAAATATAGCACTAATCAATCATCTTTTAACTAGGGATTAATGTTTTACTTAAGCATTTTTATTTCAATTTTAAGAAATTATTGAATTTTAAGGTTATTTATTGGTAATTATCAAATTTCCAACAAAATCAAGGCCAAATTCTCTCGGCAGGTAGAAAATATCCCAGCATTAAAAATTACAAAAATTTACTCTTTTCTTTTGTCAATAAAACAAAGTTTCGGGATTTCTTCCTGAATTGCGGAGGAATATACTTTACTTTAATTTTTAAGGAATCTCACAAACTTAAATTGAAAAGATTGATCCGAATGAGGTCTGCTTGCACTTACACTTTCACAATGTCTGTTTCTGCGAACTGTGAACATCAAAGTACTGGTTGAAAGTGAGCAATTGAAGTAAACTTTTAAATCCAGGAAAATAGTTGTTTCATCTAATTAGCTATTTATAATTCAGTTTCCATTTATCGCTGTCTGAGCATAAAGGAATAAAGTGGTTACCTGAAACTCTAATTCAAGTGCTGTGATATTTTGAGGGAAGTTTGATTTCATGCCTGATCGTGGAATTTGGTCGCCAAGGTACATTAATACCATGGAAGTAGGAGCAGTTTGCCGCAGTTTCATGACATAGTTGTAGAGCGAGTGGGCAGAGACTTCACTCCCGGTCAGTTGAACCGCTTCCACCATCACTTCGTAGAGGAATGCGTACTGTTGCTCTGTTTGAACCATAAAATTCCTCTGAGTTCGCATACGATTGACCGCTCCGAAGATATCAACTGTATTCTCAGCTCGAATTCGATCCAGTTGGGAATCAATCACTATGAATGCACCTGAAATTGATACAAAAGGGCCTATTTGAAATAAGGGTGGAATAACCGACTAATTGAAACTATCGTGGGAAACATGAAAATGGAAAATTTAGAAAAGACAAGTGGGATTGTTTCCATGGTTATTATGCAGTTATACTAGATCATTCGAGCTAGCAAACTAGAAAATATACTTCTTTTACAAATCCTTTGGCAAATGAGAACTAACAACTTTTCGGGCGAAATTATTTAAAAAAGGATGCAAAAGCAGAAATTTTTATAATAAAATATAAAAACATGTGAAATAAATATTGTTCCCAAATGGAATGAGTTAAAAATCAAGGTATGAAAAAGCCATGAAAATTATGCTTCAGCGTATAAGATCCTAATTAGCAAAGTTCATTGTCAAAATTGATCAATAGAGCAACGCTGTTGAGCTCAGATTACGAATTTAGGATATTCTAATTCTCCTTTTGATCTATAAGTCACGCAGAAGTCTTCTAACAAAAGCCTCTTTTATGTCTTCGATTCATAAACAGGCTGCCATCTATCTAGCAAAGTTGAGGG